CCAGAACCACCGTCATGGAGTATGCCATAGTCAGACAACCACGGCCAAATAATCCCGGTCCGGGGGTTCCAGGCACAGAAAGACTCATGGACTCTTTACAAAAGCCTCTTCCATTCGCACCGAAAGCCAAGGCCTCGGAATCAGATTCCAATCCCACAAACAGCGTATGTTCCTTCGGGGGCGTTTACAAGATTGGCAAGTAGCCCGAATTCAATATCGAGGAAATCCTAGCCCGGTACCACAGAGTACTATATGAAGCACCAATCGGACCCTGCCCAAAGGTGACGGTATCTCGGAGATCTTCCCCTAAGTCAAAAGCTCTATCTCATCTGAGGAAACGCGTGCAAAATTCTGTTACCTATACATACGGATACTTCATAGATCAGCCAGTTTTTGTAGGCGTCACCAAGCTTGAGCCGACAGAGACAGACATATCCAACTGTGTGGGTTCTAATATCCCGATGGGAAGAAACGACGCCGCGTCAGGTAATACCAAATGGACGAGGGAACTGTGCTGCCCGTGGCCTGACCACCCTACGGGTACATGTCGTTCAGAGTGTGGAAAGGACGTGTTTGAGGCAGTCAGCTATATGATGAAGACGGGTTCTCGGTATTGGTGTTGCTTCACAGATGAGGAAGTTTCATTTGTCATGCGAGTCGGTAAAAAAGAATTCAGGCTGTCTAATCCATTCAGATATGACGCTGAGGGATCTGAGAAGAATCCTGTGGTCACTGCTTCACTTGGACTGTGGTACTTGAGCATGCTAGACCACCATGGCCAATGAATTGGAAGACTGTATTTCTGATTTGTTGGACGGGACCGCTGGCACCTCATACTTTGTATACTCGCAGGATAACCCTATTCGCGAGCCAAGTTGACGATATTATGGAAATGGACTTGTGTTTGAATGTTTGTCCAATTTGCCTGGTACTTGACTATGGAATCCATTGGGTTCAATCAAATGCATAGATACCTCTAAATTGTGGTGTAAAAAGAGTAGCTGTACTCATAATAACATTGAAGGGTCAAGTCGAATATTCATGGCGGCAACAAGGATGTCTATGCTACTGCCCAACCAAGAAATTGACTCTGCCATTGCTAGCTATTTTCAATTCACCTCTGTATTGACTTTATACGTCACCCTACAGCAAGAGTCGATACTATAAAACAAGAACATCACATGCACCCACCACTCCATACAAACCCTATCACAACCCTTCGTTCCAACTACTTAATCCAACCTCTATTCCAACAAACCAGCACAATCGAATCCACCACATCCACGTGTCCAACCCAGCCCAGCCCCAGAAGCAAAGGCTGCATTTATTGAAATTTAGTTCATGCAACCCCATCCAGATCTGCAGCTAGTACATGATCTACCAATCAGCCCGGCCATTTCCACCCGCACGCTGCAAGAACCCAAACACGTCAATCCCGCACACAGATCTCCCAACCTTATCCCGCACGAGCACTTGACCCGGCTATGCCCTTGTGCATTATTAGAAAAGAACAACGATGACGAGGCGCGCCGTACTTCGCTGACCGCTGTGGTTGGCACTGTATTTCTACATCCCCGCCTCCCGATTCGAGGTTGAGCGATATCTATCCTTTCTATTGCTATTGGCAGGTAAAATGGTGTCCTTGTTAGCTTTACTGGCTCTGGCCGGGGCGAGTGTCGCTAGTCGGGATTGCAAGTGTGTATGTTTTCTCCCAAAGAGGGGTTTTGTCAGGTACATGGCTAACTGACTCCAGACTCCGGAGGACGAGTGCTGGCCCACCCTAACAGACTGGGCGGAGCTGAACGACGCCGTGTCGGGGAAGTTGATTCGGAATGTGCCCGTCGCGGAACCGTGCTACTTCGGTGATGGGAATGATAGGCACGCGTGCCAGGACATCGTGTCTCGGTGGTCTGACTCTACCTTCCAGGCGAGCCAGCCCGTTGGCTACTGCTACCCGCTTGACTATGCTTGTCCGATCGTGACTGCGGAGGTGACGCCCGCGGGTGCGTGCGAGCTCGGTCCTTCCCCTGTGTATACGATCAATGCGACGCAATCGGAAGATGTGACGCAGGGTATTCTGTTCGCGAAGAAGCATAATTTGCGATTGGTGGTTAAGAACACGGGACATGATTTGCTGGCGAGGTGCGTTCCCTATTTTATATACATGACTGTGCTGATAAGCGGACAGGTCACAGGGTTACGGCAGTCTTCAGATATGGGTTAAGTACATCCAGGATGGAATCGACTTCCACGAAGAGTACGAGCCAAAGTGCCCTCTTACAAACTGGAAGGGGAGCGCATTCAGCGTCAGAGGAGGATATATCTGGGGTGATCTCTACGCCGAGGCATTCGACCGAAAATTGATAGTCGTCGGCGCACAGGACTGGGTACGTGCTACGCATTCAAACCCCCCACAACTCACTAACCTATGCAGACGGTCGGTATCCTAGGCGGCTACCTTCAAGGCGGCGGGCACTCCCCAGCAAGCCGCGACTTCGGTCTCGCAGTCGACCAAGTGCTCGAGCTGCAGGTGGTCCTTGCATCCGGGGAACTCGTGACGGCAAATGCATGCGAGAACCGCGACCTCTTCTTCGCTCTCCGCGGCGGCGGAGGAGGTACATACGGGGTCGTAGTATCGGCCACATTGAAAGCGCACCCGACACGTCCTGTCATCACGCATTCCCTGATCGTCTACCCGCTCCCCGATCGGAAAGATCCACTCGCAACCACCATGGCGCTCATCGACGTCGTCGCCGAGTTCCTATCCGCATACCCTGCTCTATCCGACGGCGGATTCTCCGGCTACGGCGGCTGGGGCGTGGACAAAGTGGACTCCCCGATCTCCGGGGCCCCGGAGCTCGTCATGCAGAACGGGGGGTACTCCCATGTTTTCGCCAAGCTAGTAGACAATAGCGATGACGACTTCGAACAGACGCAGTCCTTCGTAGAAGACACGCTGCTGCAGCGACTCCGACGCTATAATGGTTCCGGACTGATGATCTCTCAGACCTGGGGCCGGTATTCTTCCTTCGGCGAGTACTATACAGCCGCTACGAAGGTGCAGCAACGAGTCGGATACAGCAAGATGGCCATCACATCTCGTCTTCTCGATAAGGCCGCCTTGACCAGTGACATTGACCAGGTCAAGGAGATGCTCCGCGTGACGTCAACGAATGCACCCGATGTCCCTGAGAAAGCCACGATCTGGACGATGCTCTTCCTTGTAGGTGGTGGCCGGGTGCTTGAGGATCCGACTGCGCCGTCAACTGATCGTTTTGTGGGTGTGCATCCTGCGTGGAGAAAGGCTTATCTGTTGGCTATTCCGACGTCAGTCCTGCCGGAGAGTGTGGGCCAGGATGCTGTGAAGGGTATGCAGAGGGATACGTCCTACCGGAAAGCGGATGTCATGAGAGATTTGGCACCCGGTACAGGGAGCTATGCGAATGATGGAGATCGGAATGATCCGTGGTGGACGGTGGATTTTTTCGGGGATCATTATCCGCGATTGAGGGCGATTAAGGAGTTGTATGACCCGGGGCATGTCTTCTATTGTCGTACGTGTGTGGGGAGTGAATATTGGGAGGAGGAAATGGAAGGGAAAGAATATGGAAGATTGTGTGAGGTTTGAATAAGTTCTGGACTTCCACTTGAAGTTGAAGGGTCAAGTCTGAATATATATCTTCAAGTTGTACTAGTATACTAATAGATAGTGTAGTTCAGAGACTTAGCACAATCGCATTTGACAATACAGACTTAGAACAATGGGATGATCATGTATTTATCTTTGTCCAATCAACTATGATTCATGGTATATTATACTTCAAGTTGACAAGATTTGATATTATTGAATTGACAGCATTGCTCAAGAAATAGTGTTAATACATGGTTATGGTTGCTGATAATACTTTAAAAAGACAGAAATCAACAAGAAGCATCATTGGTCTAGTGGTAGAATTCATCGTTGCCATCGATGAGGCCCGTGTTCGATTCACGGATGATGCACTTCTTTCGCTTCTATGGCTCAGTTGGTAGAGCGCATGACTAGTAATCATGAGGTCCGCGGTTCGAATCCGCGTGGAAGCATTTTTTGTCCTTTTCTTTTTCTCAATCATGATCTGGATCCATTGTCGTCTCGATGCGCCGAATGACATGGGCCGGATTCCCTGCCACGAAGTGGAATGGAGGCACGTCCTATATCGAGTCATGAGCGCACATCGCCATATACTCACGCGACAAGACCAACCCTAGTTACTACTGACCCAGCACCGACGGTACTTCCCCGTCCGATACGGACTCCAGCCACGACCACCACACTGCCTCCGAGCCAAACATCATCCTCGACGACGATTTCCTGCCCAGTATTGGGACCCTTGGCTTCCTGGCGCAGGGCCGGGTCCATCGGATGCGTGGCTCCGTACAAGTTGACATTGGGGCCCAGCAACACTCTATCGCCGATCCTGACTTCACACGTATCAAGTACTCGAAGGTTGGAGTTCAAGAACGTGTTCTTCCCCACATGCAAATTGATCCCGTGGTCCACGGAAATAGGACCGTTCACAAACGGATCTGTCTCCTCAAACAAAGCCTCGTCGGCATCAGGATCGGGATGTTCAGGAGGGAGTGGTCGTGTGTCGCCGATGATCCTAGAAGAATATTAGCCTGGACACGAAGAAGTGGACGCTACAGACTTACTCCCTCCATCGTTCCACTTTGCATCGACGGGGCTCATTCTCAGCAGCATTAAATGCTTCACAGGCCTGCTTGCAGCGGACATGATTTGCGCCCATATCCTCCCCTATATTGCAACGTAGCTCTTCGCAGAGCATACGGGGGGGTTCTTTGGCGTCGCCCATGGTGTCTATATAAACCGCGTTTGATAGTCTAAAGTGTTCAAGTGTTTATTCCAGTAATATGAACAGCAAAATATGCTAACAGTGAGACAATATGAGGAACTACCATAATACAGACTGAACTCTGTAGATTGAAAGGAAAAAAAATAATGACAAGAGTGGGATTCGAACCCACGCGTCTTGCGACACGCGAAGAGGCTCTAGTTGTCTAGAAGAAGTTACAATGAAGCAACTTGAGTCGCGCACCTTAACCGCTCGGTCATCTTGCCGGGAGATACTTTCATCGAAATTATTGCCATCTGTATCTATATTTCAACACACTACATACACTACATACTTACATTCTACGGAGTATATTGAAGATAAGTAAGTAGTAAAGTAAAGTAAAGTATCTATTCATATCTATCCTAAATCATAACCCTCACCGACGGTATATATTCAACCACTATAATCAATAGTAATAGCCAGTCGAACAGGCCCATCACCGGAAAGATTCCCACCGATGCCCCCGACATCCGTCTCAGCAGTGGTATAGGCGTTATCGACCTCCCCAGCATCAGCCGTAATCGAGGAACAAGTGCCACCGAGCGCATCACACATCTTCATACCCTGCACGGTATACCCGGCATTCTGCGCCATGATGGCCGAGACATCGAAGCCCGACCAGCCCGAGTTACCCGAGGAGGAGAAGTCGAATTCGCCCCAGGTGCAGGCATACCCGCCGTCCGAGTCAGTGGGCAGGGAGCCAGAGGAGGCACCGAAGCCGCCGTTCGTGTCGTCATCGAACGCGACGTACTTGGTTTCGCCGGCCGAGAGCGTGAAGCTGAGCGCCGAGTTGCCGTACCAGCCGTCCATTTTGCCGTCGGGCCCGTACTTGTTCCAGAAGACCACGTTCCAGGGCTCGGTGTTTTGGCCTGAGATCGCGGCTACGTGCTTGTAGTTGGAGGCTTCGCTGGCGGAGACTTCGATTATGTTGCTGCCCCAGGGATTGCCGACGTTGCCTTTGTAGGTTATGTCGTCGCCGCTGTTTGCGGTGGAGGAGCCGAAGCCTGCTGTTGCGTAGGACCCGCTGGCCGGTGTTGCGGTCCAGGCGTTGCCGGAGCTGCCCCCGGAGGAGGAAGAGGAGGAGGAGGCAGAGGGTGTAGCGGAGACGGTGGCGATTGCTTGGCGTCTGGAGTGGCCGATTACGCGGGCGCAGGACCCGGTGGTGAGGGCTGCCAGCAGCAGGAGGGATTTGGAGAGTTGCATTGTGAAAGAGTGGAAGGTTGCTTTTATCGCGTCAAGCGATGTATGTATATGTATATGTATATGTATAGAAAACTGAACTGGACTGAAGATAGTTACACTAGGTAACTTGAATGAATGTGGGTAGTTGGAAAGAAGGACAATGCAAGATAGTAGAATCAGTTCATGCCCGGGACATACGCCCTCTATATAGCCTGGCATTCTGGAAGGAAAAAATCTTTCTGGTGAACCCCCGCCCATTGAAACGTCCCAAGCACGGTCTCGAACATCCACGGTGCTCGAATGGAGCTTCTACGGCGAATTGTGCGTCAGCATGGTCAGCCTTGAGAGCTCGCCATGGGAGAGCCACGACTGGATTCCGGATGTCAAGGGAAGTGGATGGGGGGTGGGGGTGCGCAGAGAACAAAAGAAAGATAAATCGATAGGGCTTTTGTGAAAAAGTAGTGCGATTGGCTGGTGCGAACTCCACGGTGGCTTTTCCGGATCTTTTGGTTTCTGTGGACTGTTCCTGAATGTGAGAATGGTGCATTCGCCATTGGACGGTTGTCATGCTAGTGGGACTGATCAGCATGCACTGTTTGTGTTGCATGCTTTTTGCAACCGGAATTCTAAACCCTGCTCTGTGAGGCATTATTCCGTCTACCTGGCTGAGTTTTGACTGCTCCAGGAGAACAGGGCCGCGGCGCTTTGAACACAGTACGCGAATGCTGACAATGAATCAACACTGGACCCGCAAAAGCGGGTCAGTGAATTGTATTCAGTCGGCTTCGCCAAGCTGAAAGTATAGTGGAAACTCATGTGAACGCTGAACAATCTTGCTTTCAGCGCGGTCTATGTGGATCAGTCCACAATTAGTGCTATCTACCTGTTGACTATTGAAAAGCCTTCCCTCTTTGTCTGTTTCAGAACACGCTAGAAACACTAGAATACGCCGAAGAATACAATATGTTATCAAAGCCACGAGCCCTAAGCCACCTCTTTACCACCGCGTCCATCCAACACACCACGTCTTCTCCCAGACACACGAAAAAACCAACAAAGCCCTTCAGCCCCTTACCAAGACCTAAATTTACTATTGAAATACCATCCATGGAAAGCCCCCTCTGGGCCAGGAACATGGCCTTCTCATCCAATCATGGGCTATGACTAAGCCTGCGCGAAGGCCGGCTCGCCCAATGACAATACAATCCAGACAAGATGCAAGACTGGATGGCAGGCGTAACAAGCTAGTGGCAAGGAAACCATGGATAAAGTGGCTGTTGGGGCCCTGGAATTGGTGCTAACGAAAATTGTGTGTTACGTCTCTTAGGGTTTGCGCCGTCGGCTATATTCGCGGCTGTTTTCACTATGATTTCTAAGATCCTGAAACAAGTCTGAGGATAGGGAAGGCGAATATTTAAGTGAGTATCTGAAACGAGATTTCTACACGAATGTAGATCGATGAGTTAAATCTGAAACATGGTCTGGTGATTTGGATAGAATCAGGGGTTTTTGAAAAGGTCAAGATCGAGTTTACAGTAAGACAGTTAGTCTCCCTACCGAGTACACTATCCTGGCAAACTCTCCACCCCGTTCTAGACAATAATACGCACCGGCCACGCATGGCAGCTTGGCATCTAGCATATACTGTAGACAAGGGGTTCCACAATACTTACGTGCAGCGTCCCACCCACCTTGCTTTTTTTCATTCTTTGACTTTCTCTCAGCAACGACCTCCACTTCTTGGCGGCATCGTCGGCATTCTAGAAAACTTCTCGCTGAACCTAGAGTCCGTGTAAGATGGTGACGATGCCGTAAAACTTAATCGAGAAGGCAACCCCGATCTCGAAGTTAGCCGGGCGCCGGAACCAAATTCGTAAAACTCACTCGTTGACAAGAGTACGGACAAGAGTACAGCGACAAGAATACAGCGGACATTCCGCGAGAAAGTGTCGACATCATTCGGGTACCAGTGGAGAAGACAGCGGCGTTGATCGGGTTACTCTTCAATTAGGCTACGTGAAAGTAGGTTTGGATGTCGTTGTCATCGGGGCAAAGTTCTCTTTCTCAGAGGCAAAAGGCAAAAGCTACTCTCGGGGATCAATATTCGCCTTTTACATGGTTAATTGTTGAAAGCGTCGCCACAGGTGAATCCTGATGAATCTGATGCTGGGGCGACAAGACCCTAACGTATCCGGTTTCGCTTGCTAGGTAGATACTAGACAGATCATAGACACTGGCTTTGAAAGTCTAGAATGGAGAGTGAGGCATGGTCGTTCTGGCCAGGAGCGGATCCTGTCAGTGCAGGGTTGTGATATGGGACTGTCTTAGCGTTGCCCTAGTTCTTTCATGACATCATCTATTATTGACTAGCGAGTGGAAATTTTAGAGTAATCGATGACTCTAATGATTACTCCGTAGAGTCGAGAGAAGATTTGAAAGCTTTATAGGAGTGGAGCTGTTCTAGATGTAGAAGGAGATAATGATTAGGTTGATCGTGTCAATAGAATGCCAATGTCACTGTATGGGTAGATTGACATTGTATTCTTTTATCGATGGACACATTATTTTCAATTTATTAGAGGTATACCTGTAGTTCAATATTCTTAAAGAGAAGCATCTACTGTATCCATGATTGTCTAACAGAACGTTATATTAATATCTAGATTCTATACCCTGAGCCTACAACACATCCATCAATACCTTCAACCCTGCATATCTACACAAACTATCTACCAATATACTACCTCAACTCCACTTATTAACAAGTAAATAAAGCATAGATCCATCTAAATACACTAATTCGCAGAACTAAGCCATGTAATTAATAAACACTCCCAAACCTTACCCTCCTCAAGAGAGTGCGCTCGAGAAACCAGACAGACCATAGTTGAGACTAGACATCCCCAATCTCTCACCCGATTTAGATACATGTTTATATCCTAGATCCATTTGAATATCAGCTATGGCAGTTGGAATTTGTATAGAAGCGAGATACATGATTAATGGCACTGATCGTTTTGCTCTTGTGTATATTCTTTGAGTAACATGGTGAGATTAGTATCCAGGTTCGGTGTGGTTGGGGCAAATGAGTCTATACCGTTAAGTTTGTCTTGCAGCCTGTATAGTGTATATACTTGTGTTGATCTTATAAGATATTTATACATTTACTAGTATTCCTTTGGATGCACTCTTGCTGCTTGGGTCGAGGTTGTAGCTACTAACAGTACCGGTATATGATTTGATAAGGGGATAGAGTTGAGCTGTATGTAAAATTTATAGCCTCAGTTTTCATCAGAATGCTTTATATCAATTTAACCATTCAAGTGTCAGAACGATTAAACGTACACAATGAATCCCAGAAACAATAATAATAACAGTACGGAATCGCTCCACAAATGCATCCATCACAAGTGCACTAACAAGTGAAATGATATGATAATAAAAATATATAACAAGAATAGAAAAGGGTATCGTCAAAAAGAAACCACCTAATACGTATCCTCATCACCGCCGCCACCACCATCTCCGAACCCATCATCCCCGTATTCGTCATCCCCACCGTCAAAGTACTGTTCAGCATTATAATCACCGCCCATCTCATCGTCATCCTCCGAGAAGTCATCGTCGATAATCTCCTCCTCATCCTGCTCCTCCTCGCCTTCAAGAAGATCGTCATTATCAACTCCTTCGTCATCCTCATCACCTGTCTTCCGCCGCTTCCCTAGATCTTCCTCCTCTTCCTCTTCATCCTCCTCGAATCCACGCTTGAACGTCGGCCGCGCCATACGCGCAACATACCCATCTACCGCGGTACCGGGTTTATAGCTCGGCTGAATAACCCCCCACAAATCATCACGAGGGAAATACTTCATAACTGCAACACATCAGCACTCCACCAAAACCAACCCCATTTCTTCTTTAGAAAAAAGAAAAATGAGAAAAAAACTAACCATAAGGCCTCCCAAGCAATCTCGGAATCCCCCTCTTCTTCTTCTGATACTTCCCCGAATAACTCGGCATGCCATGAAATGGATCGAAATGC